AATGAGGTGCCAAAGAGTCTTCAGAGCAACCGAGAACGGTCAATAATCGAAACAGTAAGGGTTTCTTATCTTATCCATCTCGCCAGTTTTGCGAAGGCAACGGTGTCTCTGATGCGTCCGTTTATATACGCATAAGTATACACGTTATCACAGGAAATGGACACAAGGATGCGGGCGTTCTGACAACACGCTGGTCGTTACGAATCCAGTTATATATTGAATTAATTTAAACAGCGACCAACACATATTATACCGACGATCTCCCACGAAACCATATCTATTTTATTAATGCATGTTACGATAAGACATTCGTGGTGGGAAGAAGAAATAGATACTAAGATAATGACTGTGATAAAAAAAAAGAGAGAAAATAATTAATGCTTATAAAACATACAATCGCATGAAATACAAACAATATAAAGAGATCAAAGAGACAACATCTACAAACAAGTCATTTTATCTTATCATCAGACCTTCCCCAAAATTGCCACTGTTACGTCAGATTCAATCGACCTTAGTATCCAATAAGTATAAACACGCGTCGTTAATCGTATCTTGCCCCTAAATTTAATTCCAACCTTTCACGGCTACTACCGAATTTTTTAATTAACTGCCCATCCATACTTGATTTACCACCGCGCTCAATTTAAGCCGCTTGTAATACACGCCGTTCATAATCATATTTTTATAAGGATGGACAGTACAGAATTAATTTCTCTCGGACACGATGCGTTGGCACGAAATTAATTTCATGCGAATCGTCGAACGCGAACGCGTATGTATTAAATTAGTATACTCCTCCTTCAATTTCCCCTTATGTTCACTTATCTAACATCATATAATGCAAAATATATACATATGCTTAATGAGGAGTGCTCTTATCCCTGTCAGAATTCTGAAGCAATTAGTCCTGATATTGTTAGCCATACAGAAGTGCGAAAACATCCGCAAACGAGTTAATAATCATCTTCCACTTTTTCATATCAACATTTTTCTTTCGATTATCTACATTATTACAAAGTATTAAATTATACGTGAATTTCGTACCGCAACGGAAATCATGAATCGACCCTATCCTGACGATTTCTGATATCTATGCATGATATATTATTCAAGTACCGTTCGTAGTCGAACGACTAATGCACACTTCAACGATCTACCTAGCCATCATGTATCCATAAGAAGCTTCTTGCCGTAAGCGTTAATGAATACTTCAAGTCACGACTGATAATTACACTTTAAACGTTGCAATGATGCCTGATGTAGCGAGCACCTTCGCGAATACCTCTTATCATAGAATTCCGTCGAAAGATTCGTTTTGTGTACTTCAGGGCGAAACTGAAAAGCACAATGTTAAATATTATATATATATATATATATGTGTGTGTGTGTGTAACGATTTAAATTGCGCAAGTTAATATTTAACTTCAGCCTTTTCTCGCGCGTTCTATTTTCCAATGTCTTTCTTTCTCTACAGTTATATTTTTTCCTCAGTCACACTTCTCGATAATTCATTTCATAGGTTCGTCCTGCACGTGTGCACGATCATAATCATCGGCTGGTTGGCGAATGGATCACCGCTCAAAAAAATACTCTCTTACGATGACACTTTTAAGCTTGCTTTTCAGCATACATTTCATCAAACGATAATTTATCAAATTTCACTTGAATTAGTTAATAATATTGTTAAAAAATAAATAATATTATTCATATACATAATAAATATTCGAAATACGTTTTTACTCTTTTAATATTATGGTTGCATTATTTAACTTAAATTGGTAACGGTTTATATTTCGCCAACGATATAAATTTTATAAGTTAAAGATTAATCGGTGAGACTAAATTACATACCATTGACGTAATTCGATTTGATTGGATGGCACTAAAGTACTAATAAGATGATTGTAACGATATCTACTATTTCACAGAGATTGATTATATGAGTTTTTGTACTTAGCTAAAGGATTAATGATAGTTGCATGAGTTGTTAAAGATTACCTGAAGAAAGATGAGAGCAATTCGTTCAAGATTGTTATTATCCATACGTCGTTTAGCCTACGTTTTCTATTATTCGATATTACTAGTTGCCATGTTACTTGATTTACTAGCAAAAGCAGCATAAGGTATTAGTATTTATATATGGATTACCATTTTTAAATCATCACATTTTACCATCTATAAATACTATTTAAAACCTCAGTGAATATAACATACGCTGAATATAAAATACACGTAACACGTGCATAATTAATCTAACGTTGAGAAATCAATAGAGAAAAGACAAATGTAAATTGACATTTTCACAAATTTAATCAATTCCAAATGAATTGTATACGTTTCTTGCATTAAACAATTAAAAGTTTAAGTAAAATGAGCAATTTTGTTAAAATAAAATATCATGTAGAAAAAGAGATCGTTTAGCGACGTTAATACGGTTAACGACAGATCTTCAGCAAGCTCGATCTCGTCGAGCGCCATCCGCGCGATCCGCCTCGCTTGCAATCTAATTAATCTAATTAAGTCGAAGCGCCTCGTTATTGCGGCGCACGCCGCACGCATAAGAGGGCATTAAGAAGAAATGTAAGAGAGTGGCCATTGCGCTCGTAACAGATCGGTAACGCAAGATCGTTTCACAAATCCTCGTTTAGACCGTGTCGCCGACAACCGACAAGATGCATTAAGAGAATTATTATCGAATCGAGAGAGAGAGAGAGAGAGAGAGAGAGAGAGAGAGAACGAGTAATCGCTACATTCTATCTCTCTTTCTTACTATCTGCTAGCTTAAAATGTTTTTTTTTGTGCAGGCTATAAACATTATGCTCGCAATGTGTCCGAATTTAATCGCGCTTAATTTATTCCGCCAAATATAGCAGATGACGAAATAAAAGCAGTTAGAATTAAATCACGTAAATTTGGAAAACAAATTTTTTTACATTTATGGATTTTATGTGCGTCGCTTAATTTTAATTTTAGCTCTTAACATTCTGAAATTTTGTATTAACTATTTTTAATTATATTCGTGACCGTATCATACGTGTTTACATGTGCATGCAATTATGTTTCGTGTCACCGTCAGTAATTTCACGACATATACGTAAACATTAATATTATGAGCAAACTGAGCGATTACAACAATCGACAAATATTTCAAATGAGAACGATCACGATCTAAGTTTTTCTCGAGTAAGAATTGCTAATCTAACAAACTACTTTATTAATTATATAATAACTAAAAATCTTTTACATGCTAGATTCTTAAGATATTATATCGCAAACAATATTGTCCCACCTCACTTGCATCGGCTACATAGGATTAGTTTGAAATTTTTTGGGAATAGTTCATTTAAAAAATTTGCATATATTAGACATCAATGTGTTGTGAATATTTTGAAGTTAGAATTAAATAATACTTATAGGAAAATGGATTCTACTCGGGTATAGCTTTTCCGATTTGCACGTGCTATTTCCCGTTGCCTTCCTATTCATATTTGTGACGCCTTTTTTGATAAACAGGGGAGATCTTCATACCTTTTTTTCTTGCGCGAAAGGAATAGGATTGATTCGAAGTGTTGCTGGCTGTTGTCGAAACAGAGCGAAGAATTACTTAATAATAATATTAAAAATATCAGACCTATTCATTATTATCAGAAGACAGTGCCCGCAGTTAATATTGATCATGGCAGGGATGAAGTGTTGGAGAGTAGTGTTAGCGTTAGATTATTGTTGTACCCTAACGTGCAGAATCCAAATGTTGAGACAGTTAGAGAAATACAGACAGATTCTCAGTCCTTTCTTCCACTGATTCCTTCTCCTTCATTTACCTCACAAAGGAATGGCTGG